CCCGTGTCCCCTGCATCGGCAGGCGGACTCTCAACCACTGCGCCACCAGGGAAGCCCCCATGCTAAAGTTTTAATAAAGGATGTGTCAAACTCTTCACTCACTTCTGGGAAAGTTAGCTGTCTGGGCCTAATACAGGCCTCCTTTACAGGGTGTAGTGTGGTATCAAAAACGAAAAGGTGTCCTGAGTAGGTTTTCTAATCTTTATAGTCTCTAATCACAACATTTAGCTAATGGGAATTTCAACTCTAAATTTCGAGATCACATATGTACCTTATGTATTTCATAGGGTGCTTATCCTTAACTTCTCCTGATATATCCATCTTACTTTAAGAATGTGTCCTCTCCAGAAAAATCAGCAGCATGTCCGAGTCTGTGCCAAATACTATATATGTGTGCCACAAAGCAGAAGTATCACTCAAGTACTTCTCAAGAGGCATCAACGTCTACAAGTACCTGTTGAATTCTGAATTGATTGCCCTAAGAGCATGCTTAATTTTACTCAAATAGTAGGCATATGTTAGAGAACGTCTTTAAGCAGGGAATCATCTTTTTACCTGTTCTCTTGACTGACGTGGAACTTGTCGAAACCTGTCAGAATATTCTTCATTTGCATGTATTATGAAATCTAATGTATTCTCTTTCTATTACATAATAAAATGGTGACTAACAATATATGAAGAACGAGAGAAAGTTTTAGTACTAAGATAAAGAATTACTCTGCCTGCTGTATGTTTCAGAGCTTATGGTACATTCACAACAAGTTGCAGAATTCTACTAGATCTGTTTCCGTGTATTTCCAGAACAGCTTATAATAGTCTTCATGATTAACAGTCACGGCACATACGCTGATACTGTCCTACTCAGTGAATAGTTCAAATGATTCTCTTCAGGTACCATAGCCTATCACAATGGAATTCAAAGTACTTAGCTACAGAGATCACCACATCATGGCTTTCCTTGTACCTCATACGTCCTTGGAATAAAGGAAAAAAAGCCTTCAAGTTAGTTTTAGTGCCTGAGTATACTAGTACCTACCCCTCTTTATCCTAGACTTTGGCCTTTTGTCAGTTTATCTTGATGTCCTTACATGCACCCATTGGGGATCCAAAGGCCCTTGAAGACCTTGCAAAACTCCTCATGTCTGCGTGGAAGGTGTTTTACCTCTGTTGAAACAGACCCTTTTGTTGAATATGGAGGAGGATATAATGTACTTTTGGAGAAAATAGAGGACTTGCCTGACCTCCTTACCTCTTCTGATTGCCTTGTAGTGCTTTTTTTTTTCCCTCCCTACTTTCTCTGAAGTTTTCAGTTCTTTCCTTGCAGAATGTGTTGAAGACAACAAGGTAAACATGATAAAATATCTGATCGTGGCTAAAATGATATTTCTCATTGATCTGTACAGATGGTTACCTCTGACCCAAACACTGCCCAGGGCAAGAAGGAAGACTTGAGGCGAAGACACAAGATATTAGACATAATCACTTCCTTCATCTCATGTATGAATGAGTCTAGTTGTCAGACCTCAAGACCTTAGAGCTTTTTGGATATTTTGGGTGGAATGTGGTTTCTAAAGAAGAATTTCTGACCTTGATCATCTTTAAGAAATCTAGATTAGCTCCTACAGGGCTTGATAGAAAGTTTACAGAAGCTGAGTGCCTCCTTGAGAACCAAGTTCTTTGTATTTTGTAGCCCAGCAGGACTTGGCCAAACAATATAACACAATACCCGGACTCCAAAGCCTCCCTTCAACTTTGCTTCGTTGCAAAACGTGGCTTCCAATCACTTCCCAGCTGTGTGGCCTTGGTCACAATGCCTCTTTCCTTATCAGCACAAGTGCACCATCCCCTTTATAGGGTTCATCAACAA